GGGACCTCAACAGAGGTTGGGTGGGGGGTGTAATACAAACTCCCACAGAGGGACGTTGTCAGAATCGCATGCGATCAACTTCCTCTGCCAGGCACAGTAAGTGGCCGTTAGAAAGGCAGCAGAGCACAGTCGTGAGAGGCTACAGGCCCTGCGCTCGCATAGGGTAGGCACGCCCGAAGTCCAGCCTCGTCCCTTATTAACGACATAAACCTGGGTAAGCCGGGCACAGTTCCCTACGACTCAGTGTCCTCGTTTGCAAAATGGGGGTAATAATATTACCTCTGAGAGCAATTCTAAGTATTAAGACAGTCAACACATGTGTTTAGAAGAGTAGCTGGCACATACAGAACACTCAGTCAATGTGGGTTACCGCTGTTTTTTTTTATGTGATCATTAAATGTTAGCAGGTCACTGGAAAGACCCTCAGAAAAGGTTCCCAGGGGTCACAGAACACCCCTGCTCTTCCGTGTCATGGAAAGTCACTAACTATTTCCTTGGCTCTTGGCTTTGTTCAAGCTGTGTACTTGGAGCAACTGGCATAGGAAGGACACACAATATCGACGAGATTGTCACTTCCACGATGTCACACACGTCAAGCAGCAGTGGGCTCCGGTGGTCCTAGAAACAGACACATGGTCCCAGATAACCTTCACCGTCACTGGCATCCAATCACTCAGAGGGAGCATGTGTGGTCATGATCAAACCCCCTCTTTATTAAATTATTGCCTCCTGCTAGGAGCTCTTAGGCGAAAGGAGGAAGTTATCTAAAAAAAACATCTGGCGTCTTCCCAACCTTCGTCCTACTCCCAGCTCGGGATCCCAGGCTATATATAGAGTGCTCTAACTGCACAATGGGCTCTTAGGGTAACTAACTCAGGTATCCTTCGCCTTTAAGAAGGAAAAGTCCCCAGGACATGACGTTCTGGCCTCGGTCACACAGAGAGCCAAACTGCATACGACGACTTAGACTCAAGTCTTTTCTTATCCTTGAGAGAAGGAAATTAAACTGTCACGTTTGCAGAAAGGTAACCCAGAATGCTGGGCAGTACATCCTGGCTGCCAAATCACTAGTAGGAAAAGCGAATGCTTTTGATAATTCAAAGAAATTATTTTGACCTGGAGTGGTTAATACGGTTTTTATGGAGGGAGACTAAACTAAGGCCAAATATGAAATTAGTAATGAAAACAGCCACAAGATATTGATTTTCCTACGCATCCTGGCTGCCAAATCACTAGTAGGAAAAGCGAACGCTTTTGATAATTCAAAGAAAACATATTATTTTGACCCAGAGTGGTTAGATACGGTTTTTATGGAGGGAGACTAAACTAAGGCTAAATATGAAATTAGTAATGAAAACAGCCACAGGATATTGATTTTCCTACACCAAGGCATCGTCTCATTGAATTATACACCTTTTGTGGTACGTAGATGATATGAGCCTCACTGTCCCATTGAGGCTCTCAGAGGTGGAGGGCTTTGTCCAAGGTCACCCAGCAAGCCGGCACAGGAGATGGGGTGTGCCCTTGAAGTCAGACTCCAGAGTCTGCCCCCAAACCATCACGCCGCGCCGGCAGAGAGGGAGGAGGGTGCTTCAGGCGGGGTGAGGCCGAGGCGGAGGGCGAGTGTTCCAGGCCTTGGCAACCTTGTTGCGGGACAAAGCTGGCCCAGGAGGGTCAGAATGCCCTGCGCCTGCGCCCCCGGAGGGGCCCTGGGAGAAGGTGGACACTTGCGCTTCCCTGGCGTCCTGCGCCCGGGCGTCGCGCCTCTGGGGGTCCGC